CGGCAGCGGAGCCGGCGCAGCGCCCACCCGTTCCGGCGGGAATCGGAGGCGGAATAAAGGTTCCGCCCAAGCACCGAGGTCGCCGTGGCGCCCGGGGGGCACGCGAGCCCCGGATCCAGGCCTTGACGAGAGGTTTCTGCCGGGGTCTGATTTTCGCTGGCCGCGTAGGGGTGGCGTTCTCCGCCACGGCAGCCGTGCAGGGCACCCCTCAGCGGCAGCATGAGACGGGCGTGGCGGCGCCCCAGCCCATAAGTCCAGGCAGGGTTCGGTGAAGGCTAGGAACGGGCAGACCCTTTGAAGTTTTGAGCCCCGTCTCGAGCTCAGCGCAACGGTTTCAGTCACGTCGGGAGCACGTTGAGCTGAGCGCTCTTGCGGCGCGCCCGCAACGCTTCCAGGATGGCCACGCAGCCCACTTCCAACGTGACTTGGGAGCTTCAGACACGGCCCCGCTTCAAACTGGGGTTTCCCATTGAAGAGTTCGGTTTCAGAACGATACAGGCTCCGAATCAGTCTCGACTCTCGGTGACGACGCAGACACTCCCTTAGCGCAGGGTCCTCTAGAGCGCACGACAAAGGCCCATCCGGCCTCTGCTGAAAGACCTCCACCGAAGGAGAATCCTGTTCCACCGGCTGCCGGTTTGCAGAGCCAGGCAGCTCCTTCTGAGGTCTAGCCTGAGCCTCTCCCTGACTGGTTCTGGCTGTCCTTGTTCTCTGCAGCGATGGAGAATACGCCCACTCATTGATGTACTATTGGTACATGACTCCAGAAAAATTATCTAGAATGTATAAAGGTACTTCATGTGGACATGAAGGGTCATTTTATCATGCCTGGTGGACTTGTAAATAAGCCAGAAAATTTAGGTTTTAAAGACTAATATTCAACTGAACTTTTGCTGGGACTAATGGACAGACAATTAGAAAAGAGCCATGGAAGATTATTTTTATACAGTATACGATCACTGCTGCGAGACTATTATATGCGCAAAAATGGAAAGACTCTGAAATACCCACAGCGGAGGAATGGTTGGTGAAGATGACAGAACTAGCAGCGATGGCAAAATTAACTTGTTTGCTTAGAGAAAGATCAACGGCTACATTTATTAGAT